AAATAAATAAATAAATTATATTGAAATTTGAAGGTGTAAAATTTAATAATAATATTGTATTATTAACAAAAATATAATAAAATAAATAATACCTCTATCTATAAGGTATAGACTGCGATAAAAATAAGTGTAAATACTACTGATGAGTCACGAGTGACGAGTATGAAGTATTGAAGTGTATATGAAGTATAAATAATAATAATATTATATTACTTTAAATACTTCGATCAAACTTAGGTGTCGCCCGGCGTATAGCTTAGGCAAAATAGGTACATTACTGCAGTGCTCAATATTGTCTACGAGTATAATTACATTTTACTTCATCCAGCTTAAGCCGTCTAGATTTAATACAACATAGACATTTATTTGCAAAATAAACATATTATTATTATTATAATTACTACACAAAAATTATAACATCTGGGTATATAGAATCAATACAAAACATTAACTGTACTAGTACCAGCTAGCCGCTAGGTATACATCAACAGTTTGTACAATTTCAAATCAAACATTTTCTTTAAATATCGGGTGAGTTATTTAAACGTCATCAGTTGCTAATATTTAGGTGATCATTTTTATTTGATTGCTTAAACATTGATTTATAAACATTAATTTCATTCATGGATTATTCATTTTTATTTTAATAGTTTATACAAGGATTTATTACCATTTACCATTACTTATTTATAATTACTAATAAGTATATAATATTAATTTTTTTTTTTAGGCTTTTACAGGCCTTTAAGGCCCATCGCCGCAACAACATATTGTTTCCATTCTTCTCTATCATTTGCACATTCTTCTGTGTTTCTTACGTTAAGGACTTTCAGGTCTTCCTTTACTCTATCCACCCATCTTTGTCTGGGGCGTCCTATATAAATATAATATTAATTATTATAGTGTATTTATCCTAGTTCAATTATTTATTATAATTATAACATGTAGGTATAATAATATAATTATAACAGTACCATCAATAACACTAGTTTGTAAAATTTCAAGTTAAACTTTTTTTCTCATTACCTATTGCTGAGCACAAAATTAAGAACTGTTATTTAATACACCTATAGGACTATACATTTTAACTAAATTATATTTTATATTTAATAATTTTAAGCTATTTAAAATAATTTGAAATTTTTTTATTTGTTATTTTACTCCCAATATATTAATAAAAAAACATTTTCCGTCAAATACCTTGAAAATGTAATAGATATTTCTTATAATGTATTTACTGATTATTGGTTTCTATACACGGTATTCGTCCAATACGCTATCTCTACCGTAATTTTATGATAGTTTAATATTATATCTACCGTATGTCCATATGCTGTATATTATACATACTAATTTATACTAAGTAATAAATAATCAAAATTACGGACAACGAATTCAAAAGCCATGGATTTTTAGTTTGTGGCTTAAGCATGATGGCATTTTAGAGAAACGTTTTTTTTAAGTTGAAAAGCGTGATCAAAATACCTTACTAAGAATTATACTTTATTAAGTTGAACAAGGTACTACTATATATTCCGATGAATGGCGTGCGTTTTCTGCTTTAAATGAACATGGGTTTATCCATATAACAGTTAATCATTCAAAAAATGTCATTGATCCAATAACTGATGCTGAGACACAAACTATAGAAACTCTTCGGAGACACATTAAATATAAATGTAACATTAAAACAAGGGGAGTGACTAACATATTACCATCCAAACCTCAAGAAGAGTGGTAGTTACAAAAACCAACTGAAGACCTGTTCGAATTATTCCTCGGAGCGATCAGAAATACGTGTACTACACAGTATAAAAAAATGACAAAGTAGATATTCTGCATTATAAAGGTAAGACAATTCACATTTGTAAATGGTAAATACGTGTTGATATCATACTTCACCAACATAAATTGACGGTAAATAAAATATTTACGGTAGATAGCATACTAAACCATCAAACATGTGGTAGATAGCGTATTGGACGAGTACCCTCCCTATAGACGATGGAATTTTAAAAATATTTTAATTTATTTTTAAGCTTTTATTCCCACAATAAATTCTGGTTACAGTTTTACACCATTATTTAAGATAAAAGCAAACAAGAACAATATATGATACAATATTGTACTAGTAACTAGTACACATTTTTTTTACACATATATAGGTACGCCTAACTTCTAGGGTTATTGGCGTTTCTGAAATACATAAAATTTTGAAGATTTATACTATATATTTTAAGTATAATACCTCGAAAAACTTGTGTTAATTTTATTACAATATGATTAATCTATGAGTATATATTATATTTTCTTCATCAGGTTACTTTGACCTTGGTTGCAGTATTCTTCTTCTTCTCATTGTGTGCAAGAAAGTATGCACTGGTGTTTTTCGTTGCATCTGACAATTAATTTAAAAGGCTCAAAGAGTATGAATAATTAAAAAAATGTATTGAATTTAAAATACGAATGTTTAAAGTCGATCGATTGGGAAATGATACAGAATGTTCAGGATGGGATAAAGTATTGAGATGCGCTGGTATGCTTGCTGGAATGTGTGGCCGCCACGTGAGTCGTTTGTCAAGAGTTACACCGAGGTATTTAACCGTCGGTTGCCAGGATATTATACTCGTATTTTCACTGTCAAATTTTAGTTGTGGGGGAGTAATAAAGCGACGTAGACTAAAAATAACTCCTATGCTCTTCGAGGCGTTGATTTTGATCCTCCAGTTTTGACACCAGTGTGAGAGGGTATTTAAGTGATCTTGCAGATTTGTAGTTATTGCTTCGATATTGCGTGATTCCGTGAAGATGGTTGTATCATCTGTGAAGAGAGCAATTTCTGTGCGTGGTGATTGAGGGATGACGGAAACGTATAGCTTGAATAAAATAGGACCAAGTTTGGAACCTTGAGGTACACCATCAGAGATAGACTTAAGGTTGGAGGCACTGTCGTTAATTCTGACTGAGTATTGTCTATTTGAGAAGAATGAGCGAATTATATTAAAAAGATATGCTGGAGTATTAATGTTACGTAGTTTAAAAAGGAGGCTTTCATGCCAAACTTTGTCAAACGCCTTTGAAATGTCAATAAATATTGCGCCAGTGCATTTCAAACGCAGAGTTGATGTGTTCGGTGATCCTTAGAAGTTGTTGAACGTTAGAGTGGTTGGATCTGAAACCAAACAGGAATTTCAGAATAACGTCCGTGATATTCAAATAATCGAGGAGTCTGGTGTGTATGACACTCAAAAATTATTGATAAGGGTGTTAGGGTGTTAGGAGGCTAATAGGCCTGTAGCTATCGGTCTTGTCTTTACCCGGTTTCTTTATAAGAATTATCGTTGCTATTTTCCATTTAACATGGAAATAACTAAGAGGTAACCGTGAATTAAATAGGGTATATAGCAGGATCAATCCTTTTGAGGGTAATTTTTTAAACACGAGATTCGTGATTTTGTCGTGACCCGGTGACCCGGTGCTTTTTTATTGGGAAGATTCTTAATAATTTTCTTAACTTCGTTTGGAGTTACGTAACTAATACATTTTGGAACTGAGTAGTCAGGTTGCTCCAGTGCATGCTTTACTCTAGAATCGTTGTTGATATTACCTAAATGGTTATGCGCGAAAGTGAGGTGCAGAATATCTGAGAACACGTTGCATTTATCTATGTCAGATATAACTAGATTTGAGTCTGTGCGGAGAGGAGGGGTGATGTTAATTTCTTGATTAAGTAATCTTTTAGTTTCGTTCCATAAGTTTGACTCGCCGGGGTGCATGTTAGACAAAAATGTATTATACGAGGACACTGTAATTTTGAAGGACCACTTGAACTTCTTTAGTGAGTTTATTTAGATTTTTTTTTACAGTAGGATTTCTTTGATTTTTCCAAATACGCCTAATAATATGCTTGCGTCGAATAAGTGACGAAATGGATGGCGGTAGGATACCGAAACTAGGTGGATTTGTCGATGCAGGGTTTGAACAAGCTCGCGCAGCATCCGTGACGACTACCGTGAAGTGATCGGCTGTTTGTTCAGCAATTTGAGTCGTAGAAATAGTTTTAGGTATTACTAGACTTGAATGCACACTATTGGAAAATTTGATCCATGTTGGCTATAAATGATTGTAATTTACGGCCGTTCAGGTTAATAACACGACAGCCCCAATTTGGATGTTTGGAGTTTAGATCTCCCGCTATTATAATTGAGCTATTAAGGCTCAATAATTGTTCATAGTCTGAGATATGCGTATGACGGCTGGGTGGTTGATAAGCACTAACAAGAGTAACAGATCGATTATTGAGTCTAATTAGCACAGCTACAGCTTCTGTAGTGGGCATTTGTTGTTGGATAATTTGATTACGGACCAAGATAGCTACTCTACCCATAGCGCGTATTAGTGTGACACGGTCAGCCCGGTACATTTTATATCCGGGGAATTTAAAAAACATATCACCTAAATTGGCTAAATTATTCAAAGTTTTTGCGTGTTTGAGACAATAGTATTATTGGCTACAGTATAGAATAACCTATATATTTATAATGTATATAATATAATATTATAATGTGTAATATATTATCTACCTGTAACGTCATATATACACGTATGTAACGATTAATAAAGAATAACATATATTAATATATAATACATACGTAATATTCGTTAATTTATTTTAAACCGTCTTTATAGTCTTTTTAATAGTGATTTTGGTAGAAACTTTTTCACGATTCGTTAGGCAACCATTATATTATAGTAGGTACCCACTACCCAGAAGGCAGTAGTGCTTTAAGTTCGAACCACGGCTCTATCTAAAGCCGTGGTTCGAACTTAAAGATAGTACTATCTTCAGTCCGTGGTCATGGGAGGGATCACAGATATATAGAATATTATTTATTCTATATATCTGTGGGAGGGATAGAATAATTTGTTACTAACATCAATGTAATAACCGTTTAGGTTATAATCAGATGTCGTTTCTTAGTTAATACATGAAATTTTCACACCGATTATCAACTATCAATGGATGTTCCTTGTGCTTCCTACTTCCTACCTCCTAAGCACTTCACATCTTTACATTAATACGTTATTCAAATAATTTCTTTTGCTTTTAATTTCTTTTTCGTTCTTTAAACTTTCATTTTACTCCAATTGCATCAATATTACTCGTAACACCTTCGATTCATACACGACGCCATGTACGCTGTAAAAACACCCAGCAAGTATATGACCGCGAAAACTAGAAGAGGTGCGTTAATTTCATTATTTAAAATACCCAGAAGGTTACCTATTTATAACTCAAAACATTAATTAGGTATCCGAAAATAATTTTTGTTTACATTTTTCTTCCAGGCATTCGCCACAGTTTTGATCGGCTGGATTCTTTACGCGAAAACTTTAAAAAAGGCAATGGGACAGAAGAAGAAGAGCTACCATCGTATGTACCTATTACTTAATTTATTATTTAAACATCTTAAACCATAATGCCGGAAAAATGTGTTGATTGTACTTGTGATTGTTGGTTATGTCTTTAAGTCCTGAACCGAAGCCGGTATTTCATTCTAATGGCCATCGTAAGGCTTCAAACAAGTGTCCTCCAACACCCCAAGATGTTTTAAGTCCCCAACACGAAAAACTCATTCACTATATCAATGACTGTAAGTATAACTGACTGTTTTCAAGTTAAATTTGTAACTTGATTAGTAAAATATCATTTTAAACATTATTTTTGATCTACAATGTAAACTTAAATCCCTATTTCATATATTTAATATACTTTAGTTAGAAACCTACTTTTTGTATGGTATTTATGTGTAAAAATACAAAACAAAATTAATGTGGCTACAGGATACTTCAAAATAGTCATATTTAAAAAGTAAATATTCTCAAATACTACTTACACCCATATGATTTTACCGTGTTTCAGTATTTGTTATCTAGTTTATATGAAGTACTTCTTACTGCCTAACTATACCAAGAATTTTGAATGAAAAATACGAATATTTTCACTTTTTACTATTACTCATTATTGTTATGGGATAAATTTGAGTACAACAGTATTTATAACTATTATGTAATATGTCTATGTTAAGTGTGTGTGCATTTATTTATTATATTTAGACTTTCAGAACGTAAAATAAATACTGAAAATACCTTTGTATTAAATTACAACCTATTTACCTATTAATAGATTACTAAATCCATCCTTGACTCTTTTTTCATTTAAAATTATAAAACAAAACTCATAATGTAGGTTCTCTCTTCCCTTACTACAAATTAATAATTACAATTTATTTATCTTTGATTAAAATCAGTTTCCAAAATATTTTTTTGTGTACCACTCATGTATAGGTTTCAGTCATGGGTCACTTGACTGAAAACAGAGAACTATTCAAAATTACAATACGTTTATAACAATAATAATTAAGCTACACTTAACAGTATTTAATATCTATTTACACAGAAAAAAAAAATATATAAATAATAGATCTATATTAAATTTTTATATTTTTATTTTTCCACTAAACGGCCCTTTGCGTACCACAGTTTGAGAATCACTGACTTAAAAGAAACTGCTTCATTTTATATATCATAGCTATTTAATTTGTAGCTTGCTAAAGTATGCAGTCAAGACTTGAATTCTTATAAACCCATACAAAATAGAGTATTAAAAAACTTAAATATGTAAATTTATCATAAAACAAATATTTTTACCAAATTTATTGATAGGTCTTTTGCTTAATTTTTAATAAGGGTATATGCTGAACATACATATCATACAACTGTGTATCTATTGAATGTTTTGAACATGCATTTTTCAAATTTTAAATACAAATTTAGTTCTACGTTATCTTTAGTGATCTATGCAAAAATTTTACCTTCATTAAGGTTGTATAAAATATTAAATAAGCACAAAGAAAAAAATATTAAATTTTAATGTTAGTTTTACACTTTTACTATACATTTTCCTAGTTCCTATTTCCTTTCTAGTTTATAAATACTTCTTTATTATTAATTATAATATAATGTATTATAGATGAATGATTTGTAGCTTAAAGAAATAATTAGGTTGAATTAGTAGGTACTAAATATTACAAATTAAACCAATAGTTTATCATTATTAAATTGTTTGTTTCTATAATTAATCTAAACTCTATCATCTTTTGTTAACCTGTTGTGTATAACATTTTTTGTTTATGTATGATAACAATCCATTTTTATACAGGGATTATAATTGTTTTTATTCTACACCATTATTCATTAATTATACATCTCTGCTGTAACAGATTAATGTAGTTCAATTGCCTTTTAGTTTGCCATCTATTTTATTCTCAAATACTAATTTAATTATTTAAGCATCTGTGTGGGTTCAAGCACAGCACATAATATATATTTTTAATACATTAATAAATATTATTTTTAATGAAATAATTTTACTGTAATTCTGTAAGACTATAACTTAATCATTAACAAGATTTATCACATTTTTTTAAGTTTTACATTTACACATCTTGTTGAACTAATTAGTAGGTGAAATATAGGTCCATTGGTTTTTAGGTATAATAGACAATGTCTACCTGTATGGTAATGTTGTACCTATTCTTAATATAATAGCATGTGGCTTTATGTCAAACATTTTTGAGTCATAAGTATTAAAATTAAACATTTTTTTAATTTTTATAATGGGTATAAATAAATTTAAACAATTAAATATATATTTTTTATATTCTAAAAACAACTTTTTACATTTATTTATAAAATCTTGATTAGTTATATATCTGTATAATAGATAATAGTTAAAAGATATTAGTATTCAAAACATTGGTGTGAAAATACTTAATAGGTCGTCAGTTTTGAATTCCTTCAAGTATTTTTTTTTTAAATATCCTACTACTGAGTATCGGGAGCCAAATGTTCTAATCTTAATGGGTTCACTGACTGAATACTTAATTCAACTACGTCATAATACATTGAATAATTGTGTTTTGTGTACAATATATTATTTTGTTATTATTAAGTTGTATTTTATAGTAGGTATAGTATATTCCTATAAATATTGGTAATTCTTTTTAGGTAAAAGATATTATTCTTTAGTACCTATTGATTAATTATTTGATTTATACATTCAAATAATTTGAAGACATTGTTGTCAGGGAAACTATCTGTTTTTATTTGTTCCCAACAAACCAGTGAAAAGTATCTGTTAGTATCTGCATCAAACGTACTGGCGGTTGATGACTCTGCCCTCCATGAGGCGTTCAACACCTGGTATTGCGTTAACACAAACTGTCATATTTTAAAAATGTTCTCTTTTATGTGTGAGAACGTTACTTAAAATATAATCTTTTGATTAGAATCTAGGGCAGAGTCTCCAACTGCCATTACATTCGATGTGGTTTCTAGCTGCTAAAAATGAAACCATCAATATGAATGAATATAGACGGCAGGCAACATTTTGTTAAATCATCAACTGGGTCCTAACCCGAGATGTTTGCGTTTGAAATAGATACTGAACAAAATGTATAGTTTAGTACTTAAAGTTCTAAACTTTAATATTCTAAATATAAAATGTTAGATTAATATATTTTATTAAAAAAAAAAACCAAATAATTTAACACGTGCACTTATTATTTGTATTCTCCTTTGTTTACTACTTTAACCTCAGAATTATAAATTTCAGCTTGGCACTCGGTTATAGAAGATGAAGAATCATCTATAAGTATGTTAATTTTACTGATTGTTTGTAATTAAAATTAAATTTGTATTAGGTAATAATATTATTTTATGACATTATTAGGTTCACAAAAAATAATTTACTTCAAACCCGAAAACACTGCTGAAGTTCTAAACGGTATATAATACTTACTTAAAATTAAAATTGTAATTTTTATCAGATTTGTATTTTATTTTTTTTTAGGTTTTCAAGCATTTGATTTAGACACATATTGGATCAAACGTTTATACAATAACATCACTAAGTCAGTGCCATAAGTTTTTGGTATAGTGAATTATTTTTTAGAAATTATTTTACCAGACTCGCCCATAGCTCACAATGTATCAAAGACACATGAACACTTGCGTGAATAATTAGTCATTATTATGTCAAAAACCGTAGAAATGAATCTATGTCTTTAAACACTTTGAATGGGACAGGAGGGAAAATATGGCAACTAGTAGTTAAGTAGTATACCTAGTAGTAGAATTCAATGTTATAAAAATACCAATTTTAAAATATTATTGTAAAAGTATTGATTTTAGTGAATTGTTGTTTCCTCATGATGAACTTTTGTTTGTTTGTTTATAGTTATTATTATTTTTTTATTATTATTATTATTATTATCACATTATACAAATTTATGTTGTGAGTTATCTGAACAAGACTGAAATTTGTGTAAAAAAAATTACTTTATGTGCGATCATTTTATTTTTAATCCTCATTGTTTTGAATATTATGAGACCTAAAGCCAATATTTTTGTTTGTTAAAGTTTGTAGTTACTTTTTTATTGTTTGTAAAAATATTATATAATGATCAATTCCCAACGGTTATAATATTGGCTTTTTGTCTTATTTATGTAAAATTTCTGTTAAAAAAAACAACATTTTCCTTATTTACTCATTATTTATTTTTGAACATTCAAAAAACTGAAAGGGAATATTTAAAATAAAAAAATTATTTCAACTCACGTTTCGCCTGATCAACATTTATTTGCTTTGGTAATATGTAATAACAAACAACTAGTTCCTAGGAATTTATTTTTGTATATCAATTCAATTATTTTTTTAATACATAGAAAGACTGACGAGCTTTTAAAATACACATTTTTAAAGCCTCGTATTATAGACCAAAACTTCATTTGAATTGGTATATTAATATTAACTTTTTTGTTATAAATTGTTATTAGCTACTGTTACTTATATGCCTACAATAGGTGTTAGATGATTAAATTATTTTGTTGTTTAATTGTTGGTAATTACTATTGTATAGTAAATAGGCGTCTGAAGTTGCTACATACATTTTATAATTAAATGCATTAATTGTTTTATGTACAACTGAAAAATGTTATAAATTAGTGTGCTTTATTTGAATGAATAAATAGTTTAATGTTATTTTTAGTTCTACATTTTTTTTTATAGTCAGCATTGCTATTTGGATATGCAGTTTACATATTATGTAGATTGTGTATTCAAATTTAAAATGTCTATGATAATTGATTTTCAGCATTAAATTAACAAATAACCGTACACTTGAAATTTTCACCCTACATATTATTTTCTATGCATGGTAAAATTTTCAAAAATTCAAACTGTTATGACTTTTTGAGCTATTCATAGTCACGAGATATTTTCGATTTTTATTTATTTTTTTTATTAAATTATTAAATTAGATTGTTTATTGAAATATTATGTATAGGAGGACCAAACATCTCTATTCAGAATCATTTTTTGTATATAATATTATAATGATTAATGACTAATGATTTATCATTGAATTCAAATATAATATCTATTACAATGACATACTTGACCACTACTGTACAGCAGAGCAGTACTTGCTTGCTCACCTTTTTTTTATTGTTGCTCGGATGTGCGGTTTACATATTATATGATAGTAGATAATATCCGAGCAGCACCATTTCACGGCAGACTAGCAAATCACCAGAAAACAACAAAATTATATTACTTATTAGTATATTGGTTATTTTAATCGATACATACAGCACTTCATAAAAAAATTAATATCCAGTATTTATTGTTTAAATAAAATTGAAAGTTTTGTCAGGATTTTGTGTAGCACAAACTGTAATACATATTACTAATTTTATATATTGCTATAAAATTTAACAATATACGTATTTTTTATACTTTATAATTACATATCACTTAAAAGTGACTTCAGGCACAAATAATTATTAATTTTGTTTTAATCATTTGAGTGTTATGAATTTTTTGGTGGGTAATCAATATAATATAGAACAATGTTTAACTGGCATACACTTTTAAAACAAAATTGTTCAAAATCAAATATTATATTGTTGTAATAAATACAAATTACAGATTACTTATGTATTAAACTATTTACATACAAACATTTTACGCTTAACTATAATAAATATTACATAAACCTATCCTATAATACAGCATATTAAAAGCCTTGAAATTTTTCAAAATAGCACAAGTCGTAAAAAAAGGGAAATTCATTAATACGCACATTAAGTTTTACAATAGAAATAGATGTAAACATTTAAATTATGGTTATTTATACATTAGTATTTTATGTACAAATATTAATAAGTTAGAAAATAATATCACTTTTCAAAATGGTTGTAAGAATGCCATATCGGTGGAAAAAAATACAACTATGCGTGAAAAGTTCTTCATTAGTAGATATTAAATAAAACTATTTTTATTTTAGCTTAGTTTTAGTAAATATTTCACTATTTTTTTTGATCCAGGGATGTTCAATAACATCAGTTAGGGGTAATCTAGACTTTGGAACTTTAACTAAAAGTTTTGAAATCAAATGCCTCGAACTATCACTCATATAAGGTTTGAAACCATACATTACAGCACGAATTTTTCTAAAAGTCTCTGCTTGTTCTGAGCTCTCAAAAGGTGGTGATCCACATAAGAATTCATAACATAGCACTCCTAAGCACCAATTATCGACATATTCATTATATGTCTGAGAGTCAACCATCTCTGGTGGTAAATAGTCAATAGTGCCACACATGGTGTTTCGACATTTGGATGGTGCATGGACAGACCATCCAAAATCTGCTAACTTAACAACGTGATGACTAAACAATAGGAGATTTTCTGGTTTTATATCTCTGTGAATAACGCTTTGTGAATGGCAATACCTTAAAGCATCAGCTACTTGTCGTAAATAATATGCAGCCGTTGGTTCATCAAAACGTTTATGTGGCTGGGAGTTCAATACTTTAAATAATTCACCTTCTTGGGCAAATTCTAAAATTAAATATATTTTTTTTTCATCCCAAAAATAAGTCAGCATTTTTAAAATGTTGGGATGAGTAAGATGCGTTTGAATTTCGATTTCTCGTCGCACTTGATGTTCCATGTGATCTTTTACTAATTCTGATTTAAACATCATTTTTAAAGCAACCATATATTCCGTATTTTTTTCTCGGGCAAGATATACACGACCAAATTTGCCACGACCAAGTGGTGTTCCAATTTCAAAATCGCTTAATTTCCATTGATGATTTGAAGGCCGTTTGGTATAAATTTCTTTCATTGTTTTTTCTATGCGTTGAACAACTTCATTTTGAGTTTCAGGTTTAGGTTTTTCTCCAATCACAGCCATTATAAGAATATAATTGAAAATTAACAAATACACAAACTGAAATAATAAAAATAATCTATTAGAATCCATGAACTAAATATTATATATAATAACTATAAGCAGCCATACAGTGTTAAATCTAAAAATACCGACTCAATTAAAGAAGCAAAATAAATCTAAACAACCAATTGTTATTAGAAGCGATCTGAACTTTTAGTGCCCCAGCTTGATAAATCTTGTACCAAAAATAACAAAACTTGCACTTCAATATATATTTGTTTAAGTTATTCAAATTTAAAGATTTTACAAAAATTACATATTTTAATATAAAAATATTTGACATGTGGAAAACGATGAATAATTTTACAAAATACTATAAAACATCAAGTGTTATTGACACCTATTATAGTTTTGATAAATACAAAATTAAAGTCAATGTGATGTTGTAGCATCAAAGTATAATATAAAATTATGGACATAATTCTAGTTTGGTAACCTATCAATTTTTTCGCACATAGGTACTTTATAAGAATGTAAAAAAAAAAAAGGTCTGACGGACTTTGTTTTGAAGTTATTGGTAAAAATGCAAAAAAGTAGTTTTTCTGTGACCTGTATTATTTAAAAAAAAAAACTTAGTATTGAATATTTTCAAAGTAGATACAAACATTCAAAAATTGATTTTCACAATTTTTAAATCAAATTTTTGGATTAAATTTTAAAATGTTATTTTTCATGTCCAAAAACTTCAAAGCAACCATTGCAATATTATGTCAGACTTTTAATCACTAATAATTTACACCATTGATTGGAAAAGTGAGTTGCAAAAAAACTAGGAAATCGCAGACTGGGTAGTTCGAAGCGGTAACATGAACAAAAATATTTATCGTCTGAACTAGAGATTGATATATTAAGGCTCTCGCCCCTCTAGTCTGGACCATGTCGACTACGAAACAAACATCTCGATCTCGTTGTCATTAGAATGCCTGCCTCGATAGTCAGTCGAGGTCTTCTGTTTTCATTTTAAGTACTCATAATTTATAGTAACAAAACTAAACCTGTGCCAAATTGTGTAATACTCCGCGTTTCTTTCCCACTAGTCCTCTGAAGATTCGAACGTTCAAGTAGAAGTAGAACAACCTGTGAACTTGACACTATTAGCACACTCACTTCTTAGCACCGTAGACAAGAATATTTAATGCTTAGTAATTTTAATTATTTAATAGTGACTTTCGAGTGTCGAGTCTTGTTCCCACTTCCCATGGAAGTCCGAAGAACACAGAAATCGCGAGTCGTGACAACTGACTGGCCACTAGCAATTAGAGACCAACGAGCTCAGTTGTAGATTGCGGAACGGTTAAAGAATAAAATCGAAAAAGCCGTTTGACGACGATTTGAGTCGGTGGCCAATGAGGTGGGCTTGTTCGGTTGCCTTCGAAACACCAAGTTTCCATTGGTCCACGACTCCGTAGATTTTGAGGTTTATCACTCAAGCTGTTTTGCTTATCATAATTTAGGCTGTTGAATTTTTGTTTTGCAGTTTGCACCCGGCTACCTATAGTTGTTTTTACTTTTTACACGGTCATACGCATTATCAATTATCTATCATATTATATTATCGTTCTCCATCGTCATTAGATTATTGTGCGCTTTTTTTTTCCGCAATTGTAAATTGCAATTATTATAAATCGTAATACGCAATGCCCAAAATGAACGGTTGACCGATTTGTACATGGCAGTGTACGATGTTGAAATCGCCGCCTTAATTCGTGGACGCGCCAAAATAGTTTCGCATATTTGATCGCCGCTCGCTGTTTGTCTCGCCCTCCCAAAGCTGTATTATATATTCTTTTTTAATATCGAGAGTGCAAAATTAGACGTCCGCAATGAAGGCATCGATATGTATTCTATTTCTTGTGCTTTGCGGCACGGGACTCAATAATGGCGATACCAAAGTGGTTCTGCTGGATAACAAAAACACAACGGTTCCAGTCGACAACGGAGTCAAGAATGTTCCAAACACCGTAACTACCCCAGAAGTGTCGACGGCCGGGACCAATGAGACAATTGCCAATGTGACTGAAAAATCTACAGTCGTCACACCCGGTGAGCCAGTATTGCCAAAAAAAGGATCGGCTGAAGAAGAACGCAACAGTTCAATCGCCATTTTCTTTGTGCTCAGCGTTCTCGCCCTAGGCATACTGCTCATTCATCTCATGTTGTCCACACATTTTCAGTATCTACCTGAAAGTGTTGTAATTGTGTTTCTCGGTGCTGTTATTGGTCTCATTATTAATCTCATGTCTGAACAGCATATTGCTAATTGGCGCAATGAAGAAGCATTCTCTCCGACAGCATTTTTTCTCGTCTTGTTACCACCAATTATATTTGAATCTGGTTACAATTTACATAAGGGGAACTTTTTTCAAAACATTGGTTCTATTCTAGTGTTTGCTATTATTGGCACCACAATATCAGCTTTAGTTATTGGTGCCGGTATCTATGTCCTTGGTCTTGCCGAGGTAGCGTACAAATTAAGTTTTGTTGAAAGCTTTGCATTTGGATCGTTAATTTCAGCTGTTGACCCTGTAGCCACAGTAGCTATTTTCCATGCGTTGGATGTAGATCCTGTGTTGAATATGTTGGTATTTGGAGAGAGTATATTGAATGATGCAATTGCCATTGTATTGACTACATCAGTATTGCAGTCCAACGGACCAGCTATGAGTACTTCTGAAGCTGTATTGACAGGCATCAAGCAGTTCTGTTTAATGTTTTTTGCTTCAGCTGGTATTGGAGTAATATTTGCCCTAATCAGTGCACTGTTATTGAAATATGTAGACTTGAGGAAAACACCCTCGTTGGAATTTGCTATGATGTTGGTTTTCACTTATGCACCATATGTCTTGGCTGAAGGCATTCATTTATCAGGTAAATTATTACCTGATATTTCATACTCACATATTTTCACTTTTTTATTATACCTATTTTCTTTCTTAATTTTTTTAGGAATAATGGCTATTCTGTTTAATGGAATTGTCATGTCACATTATACACATTTCAATTTATCAACAGTCACACAAATTACAATGCAACAGACAATGAGAACATTGGCATTTATAGCAGAAACTTGTGTATTTGCTTATCTTGGACTAGCATTATTCAGTTTCAGATTACATTTTGAACCAGCTTTAGTAATTTGGAGTTTAATTCTGTGTCTGATTGGACGTGCTTGCAATATATTTCCACTAGCTTATTTGTGCAATAAATTCAGAGAACATCAAATTACTAAACATATGATGTTTATTATGTGGTTTAGTGGTAAGTTTCACATCAATATGAAGTATTATCTACCATATAAGTGTTAACTTTAAATAATAATTAAATTCATTAAAATAATGTAGATTGTTTGAGAACTAAATATCCCTTTAATATTAAGGTAATTCAAATTATTATTATAAATTGAATAGATAATAAAACATGTTAATGTCAGATAACTAAATAATCTATTCAAAATGAGATCGTACCTCGGCGGCCGACTTCTGCGCATTGGTGTGGTTTCGTTCCGCAGTGTTATTCTAACGAGCTTTCTAGGTGGAGAAAGCGTCTGACCATTGTGGATGAAAACTGGTCACCGCCGAGATAAAATCTCATTCCGAATAGAGTATAGATAATATTAATCACTAATTAGATAAGCAGAGAACTTCCTGAAAATCATTTGACCTGTGCCTTTGTTTCTCAATCATCAGCATATTTTTAATTTTGTTACTTTCTTGCCTTAGTTATTTTTCTTCCATTAAGGACATATACAATTTTAGAACATGATTGATAGCATAGGCGTACAATTGGTAAAAACTAGGGGAAGGTTAGAAGCTTAGATGATTTAATTAACATGTATTGACACAACTTATACTACAAGGTTAATTTAGGAAATACTTGGGGGGACTACTTAAGTATTCTGTCATTCCAAATTAGTTCATTGGCCACAATAGTTTTATTATTTTTGGGCTTTGTAAAAAATACAATATTTTAACAATAACTGTTCAGAGTTACATCTTAGCTGAGTTTCCTCTGCTTTGCTAAAATATCTGGTAATGATTGTACATAGATTTCTTAGAAATTACACTTTAATTAGGTATTCTGTATTATAAAACATTGACATAATAATATTTAAAAATGTGAATTTCCTTCTAATAACCTTTTCATATTCATGCGTATTTGTATTATTTGGTATTTAGTGTAAAAATTATTTATTTGGTTGCACAATTGATTGCTAAAATAATAAATTATAAAAAAAACCTTACATTTTTATCGATTGATTTAGTTTAATTTTTAGTTTTTTTTTTTTTAGAGAAATTTCTATTTAATCATAACCTATATAATAGATAAACATTTGTTTTAGGTTTAAGAGGAGCTATTTCATATGCATTGTCATTACATTTAGAATTCAGTAATGAAACAAGACATGTGATAATCACAACTACATTGTGCATAATATTAGTCACAACTTTGTTGTTTGGTGGTTCAACAATGCCACTAATGAAGGTAATTTTTCTCAACTAAAAAAAAAGATCAATACTTAAGTTTTTCTCTCCAGATTTTACAATCATCAAAAGCTGGGAGAAGCACTCGCCGTCGAAGAAAAGACAAAGCAATATCTCTTAGTAAAACAAAAGAATGGGTAATTACAATAAATACCAATTAGTTATTTTTAATTTTTTATATGTGTTGGTAATTATTTGTACACATTTATGTTAGGGGCAAGCAATTGATTCTGAACATTTATCTGAACTGACTGAAGAAGAATTGGAAGTTAATTTTATCCAATCAAGAATCAGTGGATTTGCTAAAATGGACATCAAATACTTCATACCGTTCTTCACTAGACGTTTTACACAAGAAGTAAATTAAAAAATATATTTAATTTTGAACTTTTCATGATTTAATTTAAAACTGTATAATTTTAGTTAAAAATTACTAATCTACATGATATACAATTGTATGAAAAACTGAAAAAAAATATTATTTTAGGAATTGAAAGATTGTAAGACACAGATGACAGATTTAACTAATCAATGGTATCAGGCAATTCGTATATCACCAACTGCATCAGATGATGATAAGACTGCAAACAGTGGACAGCCCCAGACATCTAGCCGCCAATCGAGTTGACAATTACAGCAACCACCAGTTGTGAGGCAAAGTAATGGAGGGGAAACGCAGTCTTTGATACACCGACAAAACTTCAAAGTATAACGGTTTTGTTTTACAGGTAATAATTTGTTAAGTGACATTCAGAGCTTGTCTGCATCGAGTTTACCACATACGACCAGCCAACCGCAATAATTTTAACAACTTTACTATTCAATGTACTTAATGTATACAACAAATATAAACAGAATTTATTCCAACTATTCTGATGGCTGGTTCACAAATCTTTAATGACCATTGTGAATTATGACTCGGAAAATTTGGTGTAATTGAAATGTACTTTAATACTTGAAGTCTGAATTTAAACAACAAATGTAATTGCACAAATTTATACTGTTAATGTTATACTCTAGAATTTTTAAAAACAAGTGTGATAGTCATAATTTATGTACTTTTTTGAAGTTCATAACATTCTATTTATTTTTTTGTTTTTGTTTAAATATTTAGTTTATCTAATATTTATAATTATTTCTATATGATGAAAGTAACTGCCTTGAAAATAATAACTACATATTAAATATATTTTGAAAAATGCCTGTGTGTGCCATTTAATATCTATTTTTGTATAATTACATTATAATGATGTATACAATGAGCATCTTAATAAGCACACAAGTTTACTATTCTAGTATGTGCTTCCGCTTTCATTAATAAACAAACGTAAATATAACATAACTACTTTTCTGGGCTTCTGCTTTGATGACATATATATTTTTTATTGATATAATAAATACATTATTCAGGGTATTTTCCCAACTATTATAATATTATGTATGCATGATATTTAAAAACTATAATACATTATTACAATTTAGTATTTACTAATATTATTCTTATTAATTTCTTTTTTTTCTGGTTAAAAGTAACAAAAACAAATTCATTTGAAATCAAATTAAAAAAATTGGCAGTACTTTTATTCATACGTTACCTTTTTATTTAAGTTTACTTTCAATATAATGAATTAATGATGTATCATATTATTTTGTTGATATATTATTCAATTGTGATATAAAATAAACACTATCAAAAACAAAATGATTTATATTCTTTGTTTTGTTGAATTATATTTGTAATGATTATGAATGCTTAAGCAGATTACAGTAAGTTGTTGAATACATGCGTGATTGTTAATTTTAAGATTAATATTAATGCCATTAATAGTTTTAATTTATTATGTACATCACATTTGTGACATAATTATGTATATTATCAAAATGCAGTTCTCATTTCTTAATACATCCATTTTGACTCTATGGATAAACAACAGTTTAATTTATATACAGGTTTTTAATTTAATGAAAAATACCAACGTTTTCAGTCTTAGATGTAATATAATGTCTGTGTCTATAATTATAAGAATGAATGATTTTGGTATTTTAATTGTATTTTATATAGACTTTATTTATCTGTGATATATGATAATAACTATAAGTTATTTTATATTAATAATAATATTAAATCTTCAAATTCAAAAATCTGATAATGTAATTTTTTCTGTCTTCCAGACCTCACAACTATTTGAAAAAATGTCATAAAATATATGGCTTTAATATTTATTTACACATTCTTACTTGTAAGAAAAAAATTGTACATAAATAATATTTAATCAAATCAAATATTTTCATTATGAAAATTTCATATAATCTGGTGTTTCCAAGAAGAATTTCTATAAATCAGTAGCACTACAACTTAAATGTAAGTTTCCAAATATAATTTTTACCATCATAAAAAAAATTGACCTAAGTGATTGAGACACTGAATACTGATTGTACATTGTCATTGAGTAATTTGCTGTTATGAATATGTCAAATTTGAATTCAATGATAAATTATTGCATAATATAGGTACAAAAAATTATTCTGAATGCAGTGAAAGGTGACGGTATATCTATATTACTAAAAACTAAGTTTATTTTATTTTATATTTATACTTTTATTGCTTATTAGTTATTAGTAATCTGATAGGTTTAATTGTTTTCCAAAACATCTCATTTATTATACAGCTTATTAATTGTTTTCTTAATTTATATCATAATATATTATTATTATTAACTTTTGTGTATCAATAGTAATACCGACTTACAGTAGAACACTGAATAAGTTTGTGGTCTAAATAAACAACAGCTAAAGATAAATCTAAATATTTTGAAATTGTCATTGAGTTTAGCATAATATAATAATAAACAAAAAAATTACTCTAGTAAATATTCTTCACAAATATTTTTTAATTATAACAATATCACTAAAATATTAATTTTTGTTTAATTATACAATTTTGTCAAAATCGGATCTCAAATTTCTACAAAATAATTCATACTTATAATATATTTTTAATATTTTTAGAATTCAATGAACTATTTATGAGGCACCTCGTATTATTTTTACAAGCAATAGTAATACAAATTGGATATTTTTAATGGTCCACATCACAGATAATTTTTTTTGTTACAATTTATTTCAAACGAAAACTATTGTGTTTGCATTTTCAAAAAAATTATCCGTAGTAACTGATTGTTGGTGCCGTATTATTTTACACTGGAGATTTTTGACCTGTTACTCGGTGCGTTAAAGTTTATGAACATTTATCAAAAAAACAATTTCTATTTCAAATATTTAGAGAAAAAAATATCAGCATTGAGCTCATATTTATATTAATAGGTATACCTATATATTTTTACAATATTAACGATATCTAATTTTAAGTTATTTTTTATATGGATATAGAAATCAAAAATACGATTGAATTTATAACTGTAGGCTGTATCAATGAACTATTATTATCATTGACTAGAGAAGTAATTTATAGGTACTCTATTCATTATTAAAAATATTCCATTTAATAACTTAAATAACTCGAATATTATCATTTGTCGTTGCCGTCTATAAAAATTAAATTTCAATTTGATTTCAGGTAAGTTATTATTTTTAGAATAATATAAGCTAATAATAATTCAAATAGATTTGTACATATTAATGTGTGACTTCAAATGAATATTACTTCGTTATAACTTATAAGCAATACAAGTACCTACTTAAAACATTTTATTTAATAATAGTCTCACAAAATATATACTATACTGTACCTAATATTATACTATTCACCTAGATTGTCCGGAGTCTACAATAATAATATGTTTTATAACGGTTTCGGTTTGTACAGACTTATCACTAAAAATTAAAAACTCACTTTAGGACTCAGGGGCCCTCGCCGTGAAAGTGAAACTGCATTGGGTTGTTGCGGGCCTTGACACCCTAGGCGCCACTATTCGCTATATAACAACATAGTGTATAATATAATAGAATATATCATAATGTTATTACGGTCTTAAACTCCATATATATATAATTAACATAAATATTGCAACAATATAATATAGTCATATAGAATATGTACTATCCGCCCCTATCCATAAATCACTGGACAGGTACACGACTAGAAATCATGGACACGAGTCGCTATTCTAAGAATTGGCAACAACAACCGAAAACACACACACATACAAGCTGCACGCGCCGCTACATCAAAAGAATCGCCATCACTTATAAGGGAGCCCGTGGGTGAGCCTGACCAGATGTATCATAGCCACGGAGACCAGAGCAACTTCTCGTCACACGCGCACTGCGCACACGCTATTATACACTTATTATATTTTCTGCTAAATAAACGTTATTCTACAGTTCAATTTGGTACTCGTTTGATTTGTCTCTAAAGCTTACGGCTTTTGGAGCCTTTGAGATTACGCACACAACAGGGTGTGCGCAAATTATAAATTACGACGGTTTTTTATTTAGTGAGAGCCGTTTCACATGGACGCGTATCATACTCGACATGCCGTCCGCGCTCGTTTTCATTTTACATTGGTTCGATGGCGCGTATGAACTTGGTGCACTTTTCAGTGTTACGACTTGTTAAACAAGCATGAGCGTAGGTAGGAAATATTTTCGGAGGGGGTTTTTGTCTAAATCCTAAATAATATGCCAGTTAATAATATTCTCGAACAAATTCACAAAAAGCCCAAGATTGTTTTATTTAATTTCGGGGGGTGTTTGAACACCCAAACCCCCCCCCCCCCCCCTTACCTACGCCCATGTAAACAAGCCATGCATTTAAGCAAATAGAAATTAAGGTTTTTGAGTGACTACTCAATGCAGTTACACCTGTAGATATTCTTTTTGTTTTAAAGTCAGGGGATATTACTGAAGTCTTAAACTATAGAATAATTTCGATACTAGATCACCTGTAGCATTGTAAGTACACTTTTCTAGTCTCTTGAAGTGCGCAACATTTAAGCATCAGTTAACGCTATCCCAATAGAAGAGCAGCGTGGATTTCGCCCTATAAGTGATCTACCTCTAGTTGCAAGTTGTATCATTATAAGTATTCTAAATTAACATATTGAGCATTGATATGTTCATTGATCACTCATAAGTTAAAGTCCCAATGTACAGATAGGTATTTTCGACCGGGTCAACCACACTGTATTTTGTTTTGGTGAATCACTATCTATCGGGTGTACCACAAGGGACCAAGGGGGTCATCTTTCTCTATTACTTTTATTGCTATTGCCTATTCATCAATAACATTAAAAATATAACATGCCCCTGTAATTTCCCATTATTCGCTGATGATTCTCAATTGATATTCTGGGCAGAATTTGATTTAGGTCCTGCTCCTTAATCCTTCGTGTCTTTTATGTGTGACATATATAATATTTAAATATACCGATATACCTACCTATGATATATCAGTAGATAATAGTAATACTAAAATTATGTCTTCGTTCAACCAAGTAGTAAACACATTGATTTATAAATTGTTTTTATTTAGTATTGTTAAAGTAGATAGGTCTCTAAACCTCTGAACGAGATGTCTAGGACGACAGGCGCAGGCCGGTCCGGAAAGATGTCGAACAAGGTTTGAAACTGCAAAATTAAATTGCAAAAAATGTGAGGGGATTGTCTCTCCTATCTCCATTTGGCTTGCCATCTAAAAATTGTGCCAGGCATCATGGAGCTCGTAGCATACGAATATATACTAGCGATCATACTAGCGATCACTGCGTAAGGTATGCTTTTGCCCATGTGAGCCGTAATCAATTTATGTACATTT